ATTTTATAAAGATAATAATTAATTATTCTGTTAAAATTCAATGATTATCCTAATTATATTTTAGATTTTTTATATTTAAAATGAGATGTTTATCATGTATTTGATTATATTTATCTGCAGTTAGTTACACGAATTCAGATATGGAGCTTTAATAAGTTGTACTTACGTATAATCTACTTGTAATATTGAGTTTTAAGTAATATGCATTAATAAACAGTACTTTACGCATAAAAAGTGGTTTTTAAGAGTTTTTGTCAAATTCTTTATAATATAGTATAGATAAGTATTCTGTTAAAACTCAATGATTATCCTAATCATATTTTAGATTTTTTATAGTTAAAATGAGATGTTTATCATGTATTTGATTATGTTTATCTGCAGTTAGTTACACGAATTCAGATTTGGAGCTTTTAATAAGTTGTACTTAAGCATAATCTACTTATAATCTTGAGTTTTAAGTAATATGCATTAATAAACAGTATTTCACGTATAAAATATGGTTTTTAAGAGTTTTTGTCAAATGTTTTATAATATAGTATAGATATATTTTTTTTTTCAAATTTTTTTGATATCTTTAAATTTATATTTTATTCAAAAATAAAATCATTATTACATTTTTAAAAACACATAAAATCGGATTATAACATCGACAGAGACAAATAATAAAATAGAACATTAAAATCGAGATGTGTATCGCTGCATTCCGCGAGTATTCTTTTAGTCTATAAAAGTAAACACTATAATTTATTTTGATGCGTAAGATTTTAGTACATCAAAACGTATTGAATGCAACAATTTATCGGGTAAACACTTACCTAGGTAAGCGTTGTAATCTTCATTTATCGGGTAAGACTCTCCATCATTCTCATCGCTCTTACCTGGTAAGATTCTTGGCCTTTGTCATGTTCATCCGATGAGTAAATTTATCTGATAAGCACTTACCAAGTAAGTGTTTACTGAACGACCCCTTAGTTATTTAAACGGTATGCATGACTCCACCACACCTACTATTATGATCATGTGACTTTGTATAGGTGTTGAATATAAAAATAATTTTAGGTAGTTTATCAAACGCTTACTCGGGTAAACATTTATCAAGTCACGTTATCTTACAGATGAATATGACAAAGACCAAAAAACTTACCCGGTAAGAACGAATGCAATGACCTAGAGTCTTACCCGGTAAGTAAGGACGACGACCATGGTTAAGGGTTAATTGTTGCATACGATACGTTTCAGTGGACTAAAATCTTACTCGGTAATTAAATGATAATGTTGAATTTTGCCGGTAAACACTCACCCATGTAAATGTTTGGTAAACGACTCTTAGTATTGATATCCTTGGCCAACAATTTATCGCAGAGATTGGTTTAAGATATTTGGATATTCAACTCATATTTGCTAAGGGTTTTCAAATATTCCAATTCGAAAAATGGTGCCCCTTCTTACACCCCGGATGCATTTACTTCACTGAATTCGCTTGCTAAAGCAACTTCTACTTAACATCGAGGCTTCCTTAAATCCTTTGACCAAGGGGTCGTTTACTAAATGTTTACGGAGTAGCACGTGATGAGTCATTTACCTTTCCGATTGAGCATGATAAAAACCAAGAATCTTATGCAGTAACAGACATGACAGAGACTGAGAATTTTACCCGATAAGTGAGGATACAGACGCTTACATGGCAATGGCGAAGCCAGGATTTCAGTCTAGGGGGAGCATTAATTATAATTAAAAGAAGTAAATATTATTTTTTTGAAAATAGAAAAAACAATAATATTATATTTTTGAAAGTGAAAATTGTATTAAAATGAAACAATTGTGACATTATTCTTATTTTAGAGAACTAGCTTTTAAAACAATAATTTAAGGGTTTATAATAAAGGTTTCATTTATTCAAGGGCTTATAACAAAGGTTTCATTTATTCAGGGGTTTATAACAAAAGTTTTATTTATTTAAGGGTTTGACTGACATATTGAATGGACCAAGTAATTTGTCAATTATGTTTCTATATCATAATTAATTTTATAAAAATAAATCTAAAATAATGAAAAAACATCCAAAATTGTAACATGTCATATATTTTTTTTTACAAACTTAAATTTCACATATTTTTATAATAAAAAACTAATATAGAATTCTTAAAAAAAACATTTGTACAAATTCTTAGCATTAAGAAATACGAAAAATTAAAACCTTAAAAAGAATTTCAAGGATATTTGAGATTGCTTATAAAAACAATTTAGTGATTTATTTCGGTGTGACATCGGTAATAAGCACTTTTAAGTGTTGCATTTTATAGTTATTAATCTTGTATATGATAAAATTGCATTAGGACCCGTTCAGGTTGCTATGCAACATTACTATCTCCTTTAAAAGAGACTTGAAAACGGGAAGATCCTTCGATTGTATCTGATCTCTGGTTTTAGTGATCAAATCTGGTTTTTAGAGCCTTTAGATTTCGAAGTCTGACATGTTTGTGGATTGAAAACAACCATCAACATGGGTTTGTATAGATTTGCTAGGGTTTCAATTTTTTTTTTATTTTGAAGATTTGATTTTGGGTTGTGATTTTTGTATATATCAGAATGTTCATGAATTTATTTGTATAAATATCTTAATTCACTTTTGATTTTGGGTTTTTATTATATCTAGATTCTGATTTAGTTTCTTGTATTGTATGAATTTGATTTATATAAAGAAAGTTAGGTGTCGTTTACCAAACGTTTACTTGGGTAAGAGCTTACCAAATCACATTACCTTACTGGATGAATATGATAAGAATCAAGAATTTTACCCAGTAGAAACGAGGCAAGGACAAGAGTCTTACCCGATAAGTGAGAGTGATGACTCTTACCACGGTAAGCGCTTACCAGGAAAATTGTTGCATACAATTTCGTTTTCGTGAACTAAAATCTTACCCGGTAAGTAAATAATAGTGTTAAATTTTACCAGTAAACGCTTACCACTTAAGTGTTTGGTAAACAACCCCTTAGATTTGGTTCTGATTTATGTTGATCTAAGTTTTCTTTATATAATGTTGTTCATGTTCATCTTCAAAGATTTATTAGAAAATTGTTATCTTAATTATTATGATGAGATGGAAATTAGTTGATAATGTGGATATTATGCAGTTCTTTTTATATGCCATGTAATTTTAAGTTACCTATTGAAGAAGTAAATCAGACCTTTATTTAAATTAAATAAAGAAAAACTTTATGTTACATCCTTAATGATAGTTTTGAAAGTTGATTCATTAAAATTGAAATCAGGCCAAAGTTTGTTTCATTTGGATGCAATTTTCCCTTATTGAAACACCAACCTATACAGTTTTAATAGTAACATTGACGAGTGTTCATTTTCTGAAACTTATCTATGATGTTTTCATTTTCTACCTCAACAAAAACATCTTTTTCAATATAAGACGTTAACCAACCGTTCATCCATTGATCACGCATTTTGTAGCACAACCTATTCTATACAATGTTTATAGCTAGAATTGTCCTTGTGCAGTCGCAATAAGTAACATCAATGCTAGTTTTATAAGCACATACACAATAGAAAACACCTTAGTGGCCCAATAACAAAGATATATCAACTATCTTTTTCCATCCCATAATAGAAAATTATTATATATTCAATTTCTTTCGAGGATTAGCGGCTGTTATCCCTTGTGATTAAATAGTTCCGCCACTGTTACCTGATTGACGCTTATCGGTATGAGACCATCAACAAAATTCATTTTATTGGCTGAGAATATAACCAGATATGGTGACTCTTGCCGGTAACCGTTTACCCGGAAAGAGTTTGATAAAAAGCCCCCAAGCACTTATTTCATGTTCATTCTTTGACCTAAGTACTTCATGTTCATTCCTTGACTTTTGAAACTAGATAATCGGATGCTTACCGAGATTAAGTTACAAGTCTTGATTCCAGTTTAGCTGATAGCAATAGAAGATGAGGCTAAAAGCAAGGATGAACTGTTAAATGGTTTTATGACCTATCTATTCCAATTGCGGTAGCGATTTGCTAGTTATGGTAACCATGTATTTGTTGTTGATCTGCTTACAATATGAAAGGGGCTACCATACCTATAGAAACAATTAAAGTTAAAAATGGAAATACAAGTTTTATCTCTTACTCTCTAATGTGATTGTTGCTCGCAACTTTAGCTTTGTTTGCATCAAGAAAAACATCGAGAATTCTTGTCAACATCGGCTTTCGTAAAACACAAGTTTTTTCCAAGTATTTTATATTGTTAGGCCTTTCATCCTCGTACCTTAGGCAATAGTAGACAAACATCATGTTACAATCTCGGCTCTAAATCACTTTAGGGTGCATTTTGGTAGGCAGATGGACAGAACTGAAATTTCCAATATATGTTAATTTTGTCTATATGTAGAACCTCTGTCATGTTGCTTTGGATTGTGAGGTTGAATTACAGAAGGATACGGACACATGATATGATGATATGAAGTTGGTTCCGGGGTTGGTTTACTCTTTAGCAAGAGCGTTTCCAAACAAGGGAGATGCTATTCCAACCACAAACCCTATGGAATTAAACAGACATCTAATTCTTCATGAGTCTTGATGTTTGAAATAACACTACATGATCTCCTACTTCCCAACATATCTCGTGGAAATGGATGAAGAAATTCCCAGAACTATCAGGGGGGCCTCAAATTCAGCCCCCTGTACATCTTGTACACTACATCTACTCCTTCAATCTTCCAAAAATTAAATCGAACCCACAGAGAGAGAGAATTAATTACGTATATATTGCATGACTATAGACAATTCCACCAGAGTAATTTCCAAGAGAATAGATATCAGTTATGTACAGCACCAGACCTTTCTCCAATGATATGAAACTAGAGTGAGCATTGTATTAGTTGAGGGGATAAAGAATGGTGTATATGAGAAGAAAGGTTACAATGACGATTGCACCCCCAAGAGTGAAACCTGGGCTGGTCCATAACTTCAAATTTGATCTCTCTGCCCTCTTAATAGGATCCACCTCCTCAGACAATGGGTAGTTGGATCGCCTAGGGTTCCAGCTTACATACTTATTTGGCGTAAACTGTGAAAATAGGCTCTTTTTCCCTTGCTTCTTGAAACTTGACCAGGCCTTGTCCCAATCTGTAGTTGAAAACTTGTCTGCACAGAATGTGCAAAAATATTATCTACAGCAATGCATGCTTCTGGTAGATGCTTAATTTGCCTCTATGACTAAGACTAACAAGAGATGGAAAACATATGAAAAAAAAGCGTATAAATTCCTGTTAGGGTAGGATATCCAACAAGAAGTGGATCGGATATTTGAGCCCTACAACCTTGGGAAATATGCGAAAGGCCTTAATCGAACTATTAGCCCAAGCAGTCTAGACCAGAATCCAGTACCTAACATGCCTCATGGAGCAAATGATCCTCAACGAACATAACAATTCTTTAACAAAGAAAACAGTTATGTGTAACATTTAACACTTCTGATAACGAACTTAAAATCCTGAAAGGGGTTTACAGTGTCCTAAGGTAAACAGAACTTAAAATCCTTCTGATAATGAACTCTAATGACTAATGAACATCCAAGCATACATCCATTCACTTCAATTGGTCTTTACTTTCTAGTCAGAGTCGCTTGAACAGGCAAAAGTGTTTTCCCATTTGTAGAGTTTCAGATAAACTTGGACTCTTGGAGTTACGGACTCGACCGTCATGAGTCACAAACATAAGCATTTAATGGTTTCTAGATGTCTTCACAACTGTGAAACAATGAAGAACACATTCTATCGAGGAGGAAGGGTGCAGCTCCTCCACTATCTATACAGCAAAGTTCAGCTAGCTGGTTCATGTTGGTATGTGTTCCAGCATTGTGAGTTTTCAGTAAGTTCTGAAGCTACTCTCATCTATCACACTGTCATAATGCCTCTCACTACTAAATTCGTCCAAAAGCCATGCTGCAACAAAAAACATCTGGAATTTATCTCTTCTAAATAAACGATTATAAAATCAACCTCATGATCCCCATTCTTTGACCAGAAATTGCCAGGGTAGGCGAACAGCAAACTAAAATTATCCAGATGTGTCCAATTTTCCGCTACCATTCCGACGATCAAACGTCGTCGTTATCTCACTACTAACTTCATCAGAGATTTCTTAGAGATCGTGTCCTTAACACTAATCCTATAAGGTATAATTCTACGATTTGGTCTTAATCTAACATGTATCACCACAATCAGCTCCAGCTTCACGCTGATCCATTAAACATCTCAAAATTCTAAGGAACAAAAAAGTAAACAGAACAATCAAATCATCATGCAACAACGAATTAAAAATCTATAGACAACGTAACAGCCACGATTCGTAAACGTACACTTTAGTTTTCAATACCTTCATTATTGTTGTTCCGATCGTCGCCATTTTGAGGAGATGGTGGCTTTCGTGGAGGCGGATCTCTGCTGGAACAATAACAAGGCTTTGAAGGTTTTTGATTCCTCCATGATGAGGTTAAGCTCCCGACGCTCATCACTCCAATATTCATTTTTCCAGCTTCTCAAATTTCAACCACAGAACGGATGCCTGGGTTGAGATTTTTCTACGTTGGTTGAACACGTAGGGGTATATCGGCCATTTAACTAGAGTTTTCATTAATGGGCCAAACCGATTAAACATTATTTAGCCCAATTTGCTCCAAAAAATCCACCGTATAGTCGTCTACTTTTGTGTTTGTCCATAAAGAATTATTAAAATGATAAACGTATTTTTTATTTTAACTAATGACGTCATCAGATGTTTACATATTTTACGTATGCCATCCCTATCCAACCAATACAATAAAATCAGATTTTTATATATTTTATTCAAGTTCCCGTCCTATATTTGATGATATATGTTGAAACAAGTGTTTTTTATCTGTCAAAGCTACCAACATCTGTCTGGCGTGCGATAATGGTCACATGCTCAAATACATATATATATGTTCTTTTCGTATCTTTAAAAAATATGTAAAAAAGCCGTACCGAGAGAAAAATGAGTTCAAAAGAACTCTGTAAAAAAGTATAAATAGTTACTGTGTCAAACGAAGAACTTGAAATCTAATCCGATTCAAGATGTAGATTCTAGAATCCAAAAAAGAAATTTTGAAGCCATGAACTTTCTAGGGATCTTGGAAGTACTATCTATCGATACAACCCTCCAGAAGATCATTACAAGCACCATGAGGTTCGAAAGGAGCTCAACTGCACATATAAAAATGTGTACATGTTATTCAGGTTAGACCATCCTTGAAATTTGGTTAAAAATGACATGGTTACACATTTAACGAACCCAAAAGGACCACAATCAAACCATCGGTGGCTTACGATGTCCATAGACATTGCATCTACCGCTTACGTTGATTCCATAAAGACCCCGTTAAACCAAATAAGAACAGTAAACAAGATCTTACATTGCCGAACATTTTTGCCCCATGCCATGCAGCATCTGCACCATACGGGGACTGAATAACACGGATCCCATGGGATATGTTGGGAGGTAGAAGATCATGTAGTTCCTTATCTAATCTTTCTGCAAGATGAAAGACAGTTCAAACATCATGACTTATGAAGAATTAGATGTCAATTACATGAAATACTAGTAATTATACCTGCTAATCCTGGTAGTCGTGCAGTTCCCCCAGCCAATACAATGGTCTTGTACCAATTATGATCACCGGTGCTCCTTTTGGCTTGACATTCAATGCAGTGTCCCACGGCCTGATGCAGACCCATAAAACGCCTATACCAAAAAAGAGCAAAAGTAAATTGAAAAAACGATAATGGAAAAACAAAAGGATAGTGAGTACACGAACGATGATGTACAGGTTCAAGGGTATATATACCTTCCTGCAATATGTGGCAGAAATAGAACCTCCCCAGTTTGGAAACGCTCTTGTTTAAGAGTATACCAACCCTCGGAACCAACCTGGTATGATGCTTCTGTATCCTTCTGTAATTCAGCTTCGTAGTCCAAAGCAACATAACAAAGGTTCTACATCCAGACAAAATTAAGCAACATATAATGAAAATTTCAGTCCATTCGAGTCATGTTTGTGTACCAAATGCACACTAAAATAAAGAAGTCTGAAATGTTATTAATACCTCTTTCAACGAGCTCACAGATTTTAATGAAGGAACATATACATTTCTCTGCAGCAGTTGCCTCCAAAGGTATCTAGTAAGATCTGAACCTCCAACTCTCACAGATACCACTTCATGCCTTGTGTAACCATGCAAAACTGAAAACATGCCACAAACCTCATATACCAAGGCAAAAAGGTTCAAACAAAGGGACATCAAACACACATGAAAATTTATTTGCATTTGGTCTAACATAACATCACTTAAAGCCCAGACTGTAACATGCCGTTTATCTATAAATTAACGCCTATTGCCTAAGGTAGGAGGTTCAAAGGCGAATATAACGTACTTGGAAAAACTTGTGTTTTATGATAACCAATATTGACAAGAATTCCCGATGTTCTTCTTGATGCAAATAAAGCTAAAGTTTCCTGCACATCATGTAACAGCGACATTAGGAAGTAAAAGCTAAAACTCATATTTCCAATTTGAGTTTTTATTGTTTATGTATAAAAAGCAGTCTCTTTGACATTGTAAGTAGATCAGCAACCAATGTTGGTTATGTTAACTAGCAAATGATCACCCTAATTGCAATAGACAAGTCGTTAAACCATGTAACAATTTAGCCATGCATTTATGTAGTTTCCTCGTCTTCCCTTGCTATAAGCTAAACTTGAATCAAGATTTCTTTAACTTAATCTAGGTGAACATCCGATTATCTTGTTTCAGAAGTCAAAGAATGAACGGGAATTAAGTATTCAGTCATGCCTGGTTGACTGTACAAACAGAAGGAACCCTTATTCTAATCAATGCTGAAAACACGGCATCTCTAAGTTGCTGACTAGAAGCTGCTTCAGTACCTGAAGCAAATTTAGAGAAGGAACATTTAAGAATTTGATAAATTTGCTTGAATATATTTTAGACCAAAATCATAGTTGGTAGATATCATGAAGAGCATACCAGGACCAGGATAAAAGCCGATTGGGGTTGTGAGTATAACCGGCTGCATAGATGGTTTCACATGCATCCTGCATGTGATTCAAGTTGTAAGTACGAGAATCCTACGTATTCAGGATGTATGCAAAAAAGAAAAGGCATCTAAACTTAAGGTGCCAAGTAAGTGTTGCAAATGAAAACCTGCGATAAACTGTCTCGCAAAAATGATGAACTCTAGCGGTCAGTGGAGACCTAGGGTTACCAAATTCCTACACATGAAGTCAGATTTCTACAACAATCAATGAAGTGCAATATCAAATGGAAATCTGAAAACAAGTTGTATGCTTATATAGTGACATCTTAGATTGTGTAGTGAAGTAATAACTTACCCATGTTCTCAACCGAAGAGATGGAGAATCATACTTGCTCGAACCAATTTTGCAATAACCAGCACCAACTGTGGCCAAGTATATCAATACCAAATTATTTACATTCAAGTGCATGATCATAACAGCTAGCAGATGTAGTGGAGTCATGCATATCTTTGACATTGATTAACATTTGATTAAACTAAGAGAGTGTTATAAACCTTCTACCCCAATCATGAACTGATCCACACTTTTTGTCTCATAATGGTATGAACCTGTTCTTTTTCTGAGCAGATCTGGCAATGTACCCATCCAAGACCCACCATTGGAGATGGCCTTAAGAAGCCCATAAGGAAAGGAAATTGACTTTTTGATTCACAAAGATTACAGTCGAGTAAATATAGTATGAATCATACCATATCGTCCCTATGCAGAAAGAATCAGCTAAAAAGGAGCACAAAATACAATATAAACTACAAAAAACAGACGAGAAGAAAGGTATTCGAAGGTGGAATGACAACATTTGGTACAAAAATATATATACACACACCATCAATAATAATAGCTCCGGTGGCTTGTGCTCGTTCACCATATATATGCATAAATGATAGCATCCGACGATGATATTGTCTACAATCATAATTCAAGTATGTTAGGATCATGAAATATTACTAAACTTTAGTACATATCAGCACCGACGACAGAAAACAACTATTAGCATTTCATCGAATGACCACTGCATGCAAATGCTACTCTTGATAAACCAATTTAGCTTTCCATAAATTAATGAGCAAAATGCATGACATGTCAATGTACTTTATTAACACATTGTACTTTGAAAAATCTAGCGGTAACGGGTTGTTTTTTAAACTATTTATCTCATTATTTTATTTGCTTAAATGGCATAATTCAAATCATGTGGATGACTTGTGTATTTAGCTAAATAAAAAAACTATTTCAAAATTAATCGAGTAAACTACATTTATGGTCCATATTTCATTGTTTCTTAAGGTTTTGCAATATCCTTCTATCAAACAAGAAGCTAAAGCAAAAGATGCGAGCCCAACTAACCGAATCCTTGGTTAACTCAGAGTTTCGAGTGAACCAATCCAATCTCAACGAATCGTAAACCCACCATCAAACAATAAGACTCAAATTTCCATTGATGGAGGAGGATAGAAACAACATTTGAAACATCTAACTTGTTTTTGGTCTGTAAAAAACTAAGGGGCAGTTTACCAAAGTTTACCTGGGTAAGGTTTAACGAGCTTAATGAAGCTCACAACTTATTCGGTCAGCTATACATAATTGTTTGGTAGTGGCTTAATGATAAAAAAACGACTTATTAACTGTTTGTGGAGAAAGAAAAGTTTTCTCCAAACCTATCTCTCCCAATTAAAAGAACACCTTTCTTTCATCTACGAAAAATCCCTCCTAAGCAAAATTTCCCAATGTATACAGAGAGATTAATCCATACATACAACTTTATCTATACATGAGTTAATGAAAAACCAACCAAACAGCCCTGCAAGTGCTTACCGGCAAAATTCAACACGACCACTTACTTATCGGGTAAGATTTTAGTCCACCGAAAAGGTGACGTGTGCTACAATTTACCCGGTAAGTGTTAACCATGGTAAGAGTCGTCGCCCTCACTAACCAGGTAACACTCTCGGTCTTTGCTTTTTCTCTGACCGTGTAAAAGATTCTTGGTCCATAATATATATATATATATATGTATATATATATCCGGTAAGGTAATGTGACTTGGTAAACGCTTACCCCGGTAAGTGTTTGGTAAACAGCCCTCACTTTAATCGTATCACTAATAGCAACTCCAACCATATCACTAAAGAAAGGCAAATTGGTGGGGTCGTAGACACCAAAAACAGCCTCATCTCCGAGCACACGGTATAAGTGTCATTTTTAAGTCTGTACGGTTGGTGTTTTGTTTGGTGCGAAGGTCGGAGATGTAATCAGCATTTTAATCGTAGTCCGTAACCATTCAAAATTTACTTGATATGAAGATTCATAAAGAAACATAAATGAATAAGAACAAACAAAACGAAAGCATACCGAAGAGGAAAATATCGTAGTTTAGTTTCGGCAAAGAAAATGGAAACCCCATCCTCCTGGTTCTTGAGAAAGTATAGCCATAATGTGTTATCGTAGACCATTAGTTTCCAAGATTTGCAAACGGCGGCTAACCTAGCCGCATCTTTCGGTCCGAGAAGCTTGAGTATTTGCATGAATATATCAAGAGGCAACCGGTGAACTTCCCCAGTGGATGACGAACAGACGATAGTTTGATCGGAAGTAGAACCACTCGTAATCCAACCATTGAAAACCCATTCTCGAACCCTCTTCAACAGTTGCGACATCGGAATCGACTACCGCTTCTCCGGCTAGGTTTGACGGCATCCAGAATCGTCGACGCCACGTTTGTACTTTAACTTTTTCTGATGACATTTAATCTTCAATTTATCGAGCGTATCCCTATTTTTAAGGAGGGAATTTTGTCATGGCAACCCCACGATTTCCATGATTATTATTGTCATTGTATTTATTATAAATTAATTAACTAATTTTAATTAGAAATGAAATTTACAATTTATTTCTTAAATTAAACAGAATTTGCTCCGTGAAGAATATAAAAAGAATGAAGTAACCCACCTTTCACTCGAAGCTCCAACTTTGGCCATAAATCAGATAACCATAGACGAAATCATCCTTGCGTCTAGGAACCAAATGACGACAGTGATGGGTTTCGAAAACTAGGGATGAGAACCTACAGGGACGAATGTTTTTGGAACTCTAGTCAAATCGTAAACTATGGTGCCATGAGTAAGAAGAGGGGTCTATTTTATCTGTCTGGAAATTGATAATAAGGTAAGGGCTAAGGTTGGGGAATGGAGATGGAGGGCGGCAGGGACGTCGGAGACGGCACCGAATGGTTGCCGAAGATGGCCTACACCAGGGGTTGGTCCCTAATCCTATAGATGAGAATAAGGTGAAGTTTATCAACATATTTCATAGGGTCTTGAAGATTTGTATACACGAAAGAGTGGTGATATCGTCCCTATGACCGGAGATGGAAAAGGTAATGACCAAAGATTGTTTCGGCCGCTTATTCGGTAAGCGTTTACTAATATAAATTAACACTGTTATTTAATTTGATGCGTAAAAATTTAGTACATTAAAACATATCGAATACAATAATTTACTAGGTAAACGCTTACCGGATAAGAGTAGTCATCCTCACTTATCGTGTAAGAGTCTCCATTCATTCCAATCGCTCTTACCCGATAAGACTTTTGTTCTTTTTCATGTTCACCCGATAAAGAAATATATCCGATGAACACTTACCAATGAAGTGTTTAATAAACGGTCCCTTAATGTTTTTATAAAAACAAAAAAAAAATTAAAAATGGGAAAATATGATTAAACAAATTTACCATTGGCTCTAAGAGATATTTAAACGAACTTAGTGATGAGGTCTCATTTCTAAAACAAAATCTAAATATATGGGATGACATCTTGATTTATTGAAGTTTATATTTGTCTTTCAAATAAATCATTAAATCTTAAGAACCAAAAGTGAAGTTTTACTCATCGACATTAATGTCGTATTAGATTTTATTTTTATATAATTTACTTAATTTAATTTTTTATTAAACTTATTTTAGTTTTAATGATCATGAAGATTCTCAATAAAAAATAATAGTTGGAGAACAATGTCATAGGTAAAACTTACCGATGATTCTGTATTGGTCCATTTTTTTATAAAATGTATAACTACGATTTTCGTCTCCATCAGTTGGTGTTTATAACGATTTTCGCTTCTATGGTTTAAAAACTGTGTTTTTCGTTCTTTTGGTATGCATTCCATTTCGTTTTTCGTCATTCATCCTAACATAGTTAAAAAAATCCATTAAATTGAGGATGATATGGTCTTTTTATCTTTTTTTTAATATTTAATGGCATTATATATTACACTTGTACAATTTATTAGAAGCCATTAAAAAATAAAAAATAAAACAAAAATCTAAGTTGTTCACGAACGGTATTGTAACATCCACCTATTTAAATATGTTTAACTAGTAATTATAAGCATACCTTATGTGTTACTTTTTTTAAATTTTTTTTTGCTAAAATGCTAAGTATGCTAGTGAGCTATAAGTAGAACTCATAATTGGAATGAGATGTAGAAGGTAATATTGCCATATTGGTGCTAACACCTCACAAATGACATAATTAGATAATGTGAGGGTTCAACATACAAAGTACATTGCATACATGATAGTTGGGTAGGTATCTAGAGTGCCTAAATGAGAAAAATCTACCCAAAACTTGAATGGAAGATCTAAATGTTGAAACACCTTTGAATAAGTTAATATGAAGTGTTAGAATTGTCGGAAGTCGAAAAAGTTGCGTAGATTGCATTTTATGCAAGTTTTTCAAATTACGGTATGATTTCGATAAATTACGTGCACAATACTCAATCGGGAGGTTTTTGATAGGATGTTAAGCTTTGGAACTAAGTTTTGGACCTATTAGGAGTTGTTGGAGGTGTCGGAAATTTTTTACGGGATTCCGAACTCAAAATAAAAAAGGGCAAAATTTCAAAGGAAAGCATAATTCGTACAAATATGAAAACTGCTGTTATTGGAAGGTCTTATATGAATTTTTTTTTTATTTTAAATTATAGATTATCTTGTTATGAACGCGTAGGCGAAAACCTTATCGAAAACGGAGTTTCGAGCGAAAAATTATGCAATTTTTAGTGTTTAATGGTCAAAACGGGTACCCAGCCGGGTCAAACCGACCCAACTCGGKTTTTAGACATATAAACACGAATTCAGCCCCAATTCTTCCCCATTTTCGTTTCTAAGCTTTTGTACTCTTCAAGGGAACCAAACTTAAGTGTTTTAGCAAGAAATTGGTGAAATTTTGCAAGATTATTGAAGGTATGCTTCCATTTTTGATAATGTATTCACTTTGAGTTCAAGAAATCATGAAATTATGGTTGCATGTTGAGAATTATAAGCTGAAATCTTGATATTGTGTAGGATATGTAATACATAAGTTATTATCTTGTGGAAATCATGATTAAATAACAAGAAATAGTTGTGTATACATGATATGGTTTGGGAAAGTTTGACTTTTGATAGTCAACCTTATATGAAGATGAACTAGGTGAATGTTTAGTAAAATAATGATGGATTCATGATGATTTCATATAAGTTATGATAATATAAGACTAATATATGAATTTGGTACAAAATAGTTTGGAGTTTAACTTGAAAAGGTGAAAAATAGCTATTTTCAAGTTTGAAAGTCTTGGTATAAGAATTGTTTTAAAAAAATCGTATAAAATTGTAGAAAAATCCTAAAAATATGTACAAATAGGCTCTGGAAAGGTAAGAAAAAGTTCTACAATTCATATTTGAAAGTCATTTAATGATTTTGAGTTTAAGAAGGTCAAAACAGGTCTGCAAGTAGGTGCTGTAAGAAGAAAACTAAAGTAGAAAACTTGAATTAAAAAGGGTTAATTTTATGCTATTGTTGTGCATTGCTAATAAGACTTTATATATGAACTCCAAGTGTTATTTAAGCATAATTTAAGGCCTTGGAAGTGCTTTCCAACCATTGAACGGGAGTTAGGATTCGATCTTTCGGTTTGGCTTCTGGTTTGATCAACCGATTTCATTAAACAACATAGTGAGTTTATGTGGACATATGTGTGTACTTTGTGATTATATATGCTATGATGTTTTATTGTTTATCCATGATTCATGTTAGTTCTAGATTATCACCTCGAATTGGTCTTATTGCTTGTATTGTCTTGTGGTGTGTTTTGGGCGCCGATTGTCGATATCCCATGGAGTCCGGGTGAGACAACCGGAGGGGCTGTCATACTCACTGCCCAGTGGGAGCCAGGGGGTGAGTATAGGACTTTGGCATAATCCGGAAGAAGAAGGGCGGATTTGGTGCCAAGTCTTATGTTTGTGTGTGAAGTTAATTGGTATGTGACATTGCTTAATCTCGAGTATGATGTTGATTMTATTGATGTTCTTTTTCTATATTGAACATTCTTTTGTGATTCCCACGTTCRAAGTAGGTTGTTGTAAAGGACATCATGTGGTACAACTAAGTTGTTGTCGTGTTGTTATGCAAAAAAATTTCTTTCGARACCTTCTTTATTTCGTAGAATGTACGCTTATATATGACATTGTAACCACATTTTTCCACATAAATTCACTAAGCCATATAGCTTATCTTTTAGTGGTTTTAACTTTTCAGGGCAAATTGGCAAAGGCAAAAAACAAGGTCGGGTGATCGATTAGGGATTGATGTGTAAAGCCTACTTTTGAGTTTAGGTATAAGTTATACTTTTGGGTTGTTCATAGTATGTATATTCCGGGTAGACATGTCCCCGATGATTATGTTTTTGTTAGCTATGTATTTATTAAGTCTTAAAATTATGTATTTTGGGTTGTAAATCGCTATCCCGTATCTTGAGGTTTTTGAAACTAAAATTTATTTAATGAAGGTTGGTAAGTGTTTGTTTTGTAATCGTGATGTTACAGGTATGGCTCGTTAAAAAAACCCGGTCTGCTCGGCTCGTTTGAAAAGCGGGTTTGGACAATAATTTTCGAAAAATGGACGGACTCTAGATGGACCGCTAAAATTAATAGATGAGCTTGTGCAATGAAAAAAAAGACTTTGAAGAGGCCCAGCCGGCCTCTTATATTATTATAGTTATTAAATTTTAAATATAATTACTAATTTACTTTTTTCTATCAAAAAGATTTAGAAATGGTTTTAAGTTGAATTCTCTCTACTAAAACACCCGGACTTTGAAAGTTGATATATTATTGGAGAGAAAATGTGAACATTTTGACTTGTTTCCTATTTTGGGTAATATATTTTCAGAACTTCAATTTTGGTACTTAAGATGTAAAGTTTTAAACATTTAAGTACCTAGGTAACCGGTTACCATGTTGATGTGACAAGTGATGTGGTATCCAATATTAGGTCGCACGGACAAAAAATTATGCTAGACCCGACATGGGCCCAGTCGGAACTAGCAAATGATGACCTCTACAAGCAATCATTATCTTGACGATATGAACTCTCCTTGCTTTCTTTGTTAATGAACCCTCGTCATTTTTCTTGTAAGCCATTAGGCACCACCCATCAAAGTTAAATGGTTTCCCTAATAACCATTGCGTGTACCTTGGTTGTTCTAATATTGGGATGATTTTAATCACATCTTTTAGGAGTTTAAGCAGGTTCCATATGAAAGAGTTTTATAATGGTTTGGTGCAAAATGATTAAGTGGTCAGAATGATTAAGAGACTTCCATGATATAGTGCAAAATGAAATATAATTTTTTGGTAATTGTTTACAATGAAATCATGACACTTAATAGTTAAGGGAGGCTCAGGATACAAAATCATTCAGAGAGTTTTAGAACCATTAAAAAGTAGATTTTTTTTGCCAAACAAAATTTATCTCTTAATGATTTAGATATTGTTTTTTAATAAAACTATTAAGAAGTAAACAAACATTATTAAGAATTTTATGAGATGGGTGTATGAACCTTAACTGATAACCTTTGTTTGTCGTTTTCTGCAAGATGAAGTGGAACTTTCATGAACTAAACTAGAGCAATTGCAGCATGTAGGTTTGGTGA